AACTCATGTAACCGAAAAGTGGCCAAGATGAATGCATGACGACACATTTGAATATAAATAATGTTTTTATCCAGATGGAAACAACTTATGGCCAATTGGGGGCTGGCCACTTGGCCCCGGCCGCTTTGCCCCGCGCATACCGTCCGAGACAAAAATATTCCAGCTCAGCTATTAGTGGGGTAAAAAGCATTAAAATTGGTAGAAGGCATGTACGATAACCACGCAATGCATGGACAAAAACGCTTATAAAAATTCCAAACGGTTATGGAATAAAATAACATTTAAAAATTGTAAACATAATTGGTAACCTGGCAAGAAATGCTTTTCCGTGTTTCACAGAACAATGGCGATGGGCCTGAAACCCCGGTCTGGCTCATTCGAACGACCGCAAAGAGAAGTATAATTGGAAATCATAAATTGGAACTGACGCCAGCTGTGGAGGGCTAAAACGATGGATGGCCGCTTTGCCCCGGGTGGCCGCTTTGCCCCACTCTCCCCTACCAATATGTTAAATAGTTTTAAATACTTTTTCGCGAATTGTACACTTCTGGCACCAGTTTTAAAAAGAAAATGAAAAATAATAATGTCAAAATGAAAAACAACGATATCTTCATATTTCACGAAGGTGGCCCTTTTCCTTTAATTTTTAGGTCAGCGACCCCTGTTGAAACACCAGATAATCCTTTGATAGCTCATAGCACTCAGTCTACAATTTACACGGCGCATGAAAGCACAGCCATCATTAGACCATCGCGCTGCCCTCACATTCGTTAGATTCCTAACGCATCCGCTTGCTCGCCTCTCCCGGCCAGACCCGCCGGAGCACCCGGCGGCGAGGCCGTCCAGTGCTGGTCTGCGGTCACTCTCCAGCCGGCCGCTGTGTAGCTCCGCCCCCCGCGCGTGACGTCACAGGGCCGCCAGAGCCGCCAGGGCGCTGGGGTGTGGGCTCAGCCAACTATCGAATCCAGACCGTAGCGCCACTTGGCGGCCGGGAAAGATACATATTTGACCGACTATACGGGAGCGAATGACGTCAGCGAGTGCCAGCACTGCACTTTGTTGTGTCATTTGAACTGCTCTGCGTTATGCCACCAGTTATATAACGAAACAAGTATCAGTTTTGATAGTAAGGCTCAGTACGCGTCTACATTTTCGATTTCCGTTTCGCTGGGAAAACAAATTCCATTGCATCATTCATTGCCACTGCAAGCGTGGCCTCTCGCTTTCATAAATCCTGGGTAGCTATGCTTGCGGCCATTCAGCATTATCCACCGGCGTTATGTGGCTATATTTGACTCCGAGCTTATTGTATCCGGGGTATTTTTCCCTGTCCCTCTGTCTCCGCTGGTGCGGCACCTCCCGGCGCGCGCGGGCGGCGTGCCGGCCAAGGTGTCGCAGTTGGACGCCCTCTGTTGTGACACGTGTGCCAGGGAGCGGCCTCTGCCAACTGTCAGGGGCACGGCCGGGTATTTTTAGAGCCGCCACGGGGTCAGCTATGCCGCACAGCCCCGCCCCGTTTCTGCTGACACAGCCGACGCTGACGGCAGATAATTGAAAGGCCGAGGGCGGATGTGCTCAGTCATCACAACGGAATTCATTATTGTTATGCTTTAGAAGTGTTACTTGTTCTATCGCTCTGCGGGATGTTGCATTACAGCTGTCAATATCCATTCGTATCAATATCTCAATGATCTTCTAATTTACTTTTGCTAGAAAAACTCGCTGATGTACAACGACGGGATTGACCCTTAAACCGTGATCTGGCAGGATCAAAGTCTCTGTTCCTATAATTACCCCTCAATTATTACTCCGGCTGTGACGCAGACATCTCGCCTCTCCCCGGTGCCAGCTGCTCTGAGGGCAGAGGGTGTGGGCGGACGGGCCCGCCTTGTGATGACATTGAGCCGCCAGCCGCTGATCTTGGCTCTGGGTGGAGTGCGCCATCCCGTTCGACTGTGAAATCCCCCGGAACTCTGGGTAGTGATGGATCTATCCCCCAACTGACGAGGGCAATCTTTCTCTGACAGGATGGTGCAGGACCTGGACATGGCCTGCTTCACCTACTCCGGCTACGGCAAGAAGTTCATCAAGTCGCAGCGGATGAGCCCCGACAGCTACATCCAGATGGCCATCCAGCTGGCATTCTACAGGTATGATCAGTCCCCGAAACGCTCTTCCAGGAAGTGTGTGGTACAGTCTACAGAACAGATATGCGTTACATTTGGCCTCATTTCCGTCGCAGACACAGATACCTAATGGATGTTTCATTCATTACAGTTTATGTGTTATTCGTAGGTGACATACATTGACAGCCATCTGCCACAGCAATGACAACTGAGTGCCACCTACGGTTTGGTCTAGTCCCGCTATCCATTCAGCTGACGTTACTCAATAATGACGCCGCCCCTCTTCACAACCCCCCTCTCTCTCTCTCCCCCGCCAGGATACACGGCGAGCCGGGAGCTACATACGAGTCGGCCGCCACGCGCAAGTTCCAGCGCGGTCGGACGGAGACGATCCGCTCGTGCTCGGCCGAGTCGGTGGCCTTCTGCCAGGCGATGCTGGACCCCAGCGCCGCGCCGACCTCTAAGATCGAGGCGCTGCGAAATGCAATCAACGCCCACAAGGAGTACGCCAAAGATGTGAGTGGAGAGGCTGGCGGGTGAGGGAGGAGGCCGGGGTGGGAGTCGGAGAATTGGGATGTGTGCTAGTTGGGAAACGAGCTGGGAGTCTGGGCTTTGACTGGCTTAACGTGACCTCATCCCATACGCAGTGAACGGGCTAGGTGTCTGAACTGTCTGATCTGACCTGACCTTACCGAACTTGACCCACAGGCGGTGGGTCTGGGAGATTGTGTTGGGACCTAACCTGGCCTGACCTCTACCCCACAGGCGGTGAACGGCCTGGGCTGCGACCGTCACATGCTCGGCCTGAAGCTGGCCGCCATTGAGAACGGAATGGACGTGCCCGAGATATTCATGGACGGCGCCTGGTCGCGCAGCACCCACATGAAGCTCTCCACCAGCCAGGTCAGCTGGGAGTTTTGGGAGAGAGTAGTGGGTGGTAGGGGGCGTTGTGTAGCCCTGGACGTGTGCAGGCTCTGCAATCTGCATCGTAGGCAGTGGTGCCCTGGCATGGGGATGGGGTAGCGTTTGTTTGGTTATTTTGCTGGTCGCTGCGACCATGGTGGAGCGTGATAGAAAATGGTCGTTAGGCATTTATTATTTCTCCCGTTTTCGTTTATAGTGTCCCTTGTCCCTTCGCACCTCGAACGTGAGTGTCCCTGTCTGCTCCCGCACCCCTCTAACGTTTGGCCGTGTCACCCACAGGTGCCGGTAGTGGCGGACGCGTTCATGTGCTACGGCCCTCTGGTCCCCGATGGCTACGGCTGTTGCTACAACCCGCGCGACACGCAGATCAACTTCGGCACGTCGGCCTGCAACTCGAGCCCGGCTACAGTGGCCGCCGACTTCCGCGGCGCCCTGGAGAACTCGCTCAACGACATGTTCAACCTGCTGCACTCCGGCTGACGGGCTGGCTGTCACTGGACAGAGGACCGGCCCGCTGCGAGAGGTGGACGGAGGACGGGCCGCTGAGGTGGAGAGAGGCAGAGAGACGGCAGAGCCGAGCCAGGGGAGAGGAGGACGGGGAAGGGGAGGGGCTGGAGGAATTGGCGGCGTGCGTTCCGCGAGTCTGCTCCGGTGGTGGTCAGATAATTTTCGGCTGATGATCGGGATTGTAAAACGAGTGGCAGGGGGTAACTTCTCCGGCGTTTGAGCTTATTCTTCCATGTCTGAGAAGCTGGTTATTGTGTGCGTTGATCGCGAAGCGTATTGAACAGGCCTTTACTAGACGAATGCCAAAATTCCTGGTAGCGTAAGGAATTGACCAAAGATTTAGTTGGCTAAACGGTCGGTCTTATCTCATCCAGCCTGGCATAATACTGTGATTTGTGAAGCACAATTTGGCTTTGAATTACTGCTGAAAAGCGTCACGATACCGTCTCGAAATGGTTGAGCTTTACCTAGCTTCATGATCTGCTTTTGCTATCAGATTGTCCATGTTTACTGTGCTATATTTTGTGCTGTCCACCGGTTGTGTTGGGTCTCATCGGGGTATCAATAATCTCTAGTTCATTTATTGGGTTATTTCTTATTTTTGGCACGCAGCCGGTTTGTAAGCCAAGCATCTGCACTAGGTCAGCTGATTTTTGAAATTTGTCCTCGATCAACCCCAGTTCAAACCGCCGGACATTTAAATCCTAACAATCACCCATCGATTGGCTATGGGCTGTGACGGTGCCGTGCTTTCAGAGGTGTCTGTCGTTCTGTCCTCTATTCCCACCAGATAATGTCCAGCCACTGGTCCCGGTGTTCTGTCGGGGCTGTGTATGACGTGTCAGACTCCCCGGGATGGGGACGTCCAGTGTGCGTGTCGCCGAGTGAGTTACAGCCGTCACCACTGGGCTATCAGGACGGTCAGACCGCCTACCGTGGAGGGGCGACCTGGGGCGACTGTCGAAAGGGCCGGCATCCAATGTCCGGGCCTCGCCAGGCGCGCTTCCATTATCAATGCAATGCCAATCGTCATGGTGGGGACAGACTAGTTGTACTGGTCCCGTGTGTCGAGTGTATGTATCTTTAGCTAGACGATCCCCGTATATTGACTAATCGCGCCAGTGTGAAATACATTCAACCGTGGAAGAGCGAATGTTGGTAGTATGTTCACCGACCGGTCACCGAACATCTGTGCGCGCTGTGAACATCGGGTATGGCCGAACCAACAGCGGGTATGGACGAACCATTGAACCTACAGCGGTTCAGTACTCGGTTGGTAAATGTGAAATTGTCGAACACAGAGAATGTCAAGGCTTGTTTTGGTGTCTTATTGATTCGACGGTCCCGTCTACACTCGGTAAGACACGGCCAAACGCCTAACGAGCACGACTGCCAAATACCGCATCAAACTCGTTACGTTGAACGTTTAAACGTTGTTAGACATTTAACTAACGTCACACGACGCACCTCTATATTCACGATGTCGAAGCCAGTAACATGCAAAAGTTTACACCGTTCAAATGCACCAATACACCATTCAAAGCACATTTCCATAACAATACACATTACGTACAAATCGCGCAATGACAAGTCGAAATCCCCACACCCCAAGTAACCAGTACCTTTTCACGTTTCGGCTCGTTTCTTCTTCTTCTGCGCCTTCTTCACCTTGGCCTTGAGAGCCTCCACGTCGATCTGGTCGTCCTTCTTCTTCTGCGGTTTCTTGGTGGGCTCTTTGGGCGGCTGGTAGACCTTGTTGCGCTGCTCGGTCCGCTTGGCAGCCTCCTGAGCCATCTTCTCGCGCTGCTCCTTTTTCTTGGCCGCCCTCCGCTGCTTCTCCAGCATGAAGTACTGTCCGCTGGCCAGCTCCTTGTCCACCTTGCTCTCCGGCATCGGTGGCGGGAACGGCGTGTACGCCTTCTTCTCCTTCTTCTTCAGCGGCTGCTTCCGCTTGGTGGTGTTCTTCTTCTTGAAGTTAGGCAAGAAGCGATCCCAATTCTCGTTTTTCAGCTGTGGATTCTTGGCGAGCTCACGCTTAATCATGAGCGCTTTGATGTTGTAGATGGGGTGAATGTTGTTCATAGTCTCCTCGACGATCTGCCGCACGTGTTGGAGTCCTCTGTGGGGACCCAGTGCGGCCACCGTGTTACCCTGCACCAGAACGTAGCAGTTGGTAAGCAGCTCGATCGCCTTTAGCGTGGAGCCGTTGGGGCCGATCAGTCGCTGGCGGCGCTTCACGAAGCGGTCCTTTTTGCGCACCAGCGAGCCGATCTTGATGATATCCGCGCTGACCTCGTCCTGCATCACCTTGACGGCCTGCTCGTAGGGCACGCTGCGCGCCATCAGCTTGATGAGGTCGCGCGCCTTGATGATGCTGTACGGGTCCCAGGTGCGGCGCGTGGTCGACACGGTCATGCTGCCCTCGACGGCGTCCAGCTCGGCGCGGATGAAGTAGGGCTCCAGCGCCTTCTGCACGAGCGGCCACACCTCGCGCAGGTAGGCCTCGCGGTACTTGGGAAACAGGGTGGCGAACGAGCTGGTCTCCAGCACGCCGTGCGGATTGTGCTCCGGTTTGAACTCGGGCACCTTCAGCGCCCAGGCATTCTCCACGGGGCCGTCCGGCACCTCCTGCTCCTCTGTGTCACTCATCGCTGGGAACTGGCGGCAACAGCAGAATGGGTGTGTGCAATGTGCATCAGCAACAAGTAAAATGGCTACAGGAAATAATTGAGGTACATCCTACCTATGCTGGAATTTAAACCTTGATCCTATTTGGAGATCTAATCTCAGGGCCAAGGTACCTACTGGAAGTGCAGTGTGCACTCAATCCAGAATATTTAAAATCATGTGTATTTTTTTTTTTTGCTCTGTCTGCGTAGTGTCATTCCCCAGCAGGGGACAAATTCGAGTTGCACAAGAATCATGTTAATTAAAAATGCAAATAAAGCTCTTGGCTTTATCATGAGAACAGTACTAACAACACTCTGAACATCAAAATATTCACTGGACACAAACAGACAGTGAAACAAATCTTGCACAAAATAGTTCAAAAAATGAAAAAGAATTACTTTAATATTAATAGTGAGTTAAATGCATTTGAAAAAGTCTGTATCAGGCAGTACCCAAAGAGACCAACACTTTCTGACAAATCACTATACACAGGGACCTTCAAGTATTTGACAGTTACATTAATGTCAAATGCCCATGTATTTTGAGATATGAAATAAGTGATCATTTAATCATTCATCAAAATGTTACTATTACCACACTGATATCCCAACAGATAAAAAGTAGGTATTCTCAGTTTACCAGTTACCTGAAAAAGTGGATCACATGCCATCTTCCTAATCACAGTTATCAATTTCCCTCTTCACATTAAAGGAAATAGTTCACATTTTAACATGGGTTTTGAACTGGAATAGCAGTTCCGTAGCTTGGGCTGAGACGAGCATAAATCAGGAGCTTTTACAGCCCAACGATCACCCTAGGCAAAGATATTCTATTTCTCGTCCCGAAAAATGTGTCTTGCGTTGAGGATGTGTGCCTTGCATATATTCGCATCCAGTATGAAACGAGCATGGGTCCCGAAAATTCTTCAGAAACTAGAGAAATTATCTACGAGAACTCTAGAGAAATTCGCTCCAGTGAGGCGCTCCAGTAACAAAAGCACGAGCAGATCGCCCAAATGCCGGTGGCCGCGATAATTTCTCTAGTTCTGAAGAATTTTCGGGACCCATGCTCTTTTCATACTGGATCGTGGTGCCTTACAGAAACTGAAAAGTTCTTCCTATATCAAAAATATAGAAAATAATCTTTTGCTGTAAAAAGGTTTTATTTTCTTTGCTGATCATTTTGAACATAAAAAATCACAAATCCATTGCAAAAAAAATAATTTCGTGAAAGTGAACTATTTCCTTTAAAAGCTACAGCTGCAGTGATCCAGTACCAGCAATGTAAGACATTTGGGCTTTGGCAGTACCCTCATGATTGAGATGTGAGACTCAGTGTTACCTGTTTGAATATTCTTATTAATAGTCTCACACTAAGACTAAGTACTAAGTATCTAGGGATATAGAAGACTGAATTTGGCACCAAAGTGATTGAACTTCTGCACTGGCACAGCACTCCTCATAAAAATAATGTACCTACTGATTCTGAAGATACAACAGGGTGACCAGGGAATAAGTGACATATTATCTTATCATCATTTTCTTTATAGCAAGTGCAGACTGCAGAGCTTTGAAGTGATTATGCCATGAAAATTTTAATTTTTCTTCTGACACATTATGCAGGCTGGTACAGAATTTCTGCCTGGCTGAGAGCAGGGCACCATTTGATAGTTGTTTTTGTCAGAACGCTGCCAGTGTTCACATGTAAATGTGGTTCTTGGCCCCTCATTGGTCACATGAATCTGACCAATAGGCAATAAGCCAAGAAATAACAGCAAGCTGGCAGCCCACCAATAAAAAATGGACAAACACCATGACCCTGACTAAAGGTGGCATGCGCCACACGGGACACTGAAAGAAATTTGCCAGCCTGGTTAATGATAGCAGCACGTCAACTCTGATGTCATGCCTTGCAGCCTGGCATCTAAAAATCCCTTGGCAACTTACACTATTAGTGTTATCACTTATCACACAATTTGCTTGTAAATTGTGATAGCAGTGGCCTGCCGCCAAATGAGTGGTACCTAAGTGGGAGCACTGTTAGCACTTAGCATTAATGTTAAAGCAAAAAATATTAAGAACCATACAGCAACTAACCTACCAGATTTCAGAAAATTCCTTAAATTTGTCCTCTTCTTTAGTATATCTGCAGCTTCCAAAGAAATTTGAATCAGTATAATCTCGCTGCTGTCTCTCTTCTCTCTAAAAAAAGAATAGCATTCGCCAGTCAAAACACGCGAGTCGTTTCATCAAATTGTAATGTTGAAGTGTGAGAAATGACGTCATAGGTTTTCCACAGTATAATTTTTGAGGGAATTGACCCGGAATAAAATGCTTAGACATGTCAATCCCAACATTAATTTGGATCAATGCAGTCTCACCAAAGGATTTTAGAATGATTTTCTTGGGCTTGACTCAGCTAAGCTTCCGAAAGTTCCTGTGGAAAATTATATTTTTCCAGTTTTGATTACGTCACAAAATGCTCCAAAGTTATGTTGTATTGCTGTTGTCACGAAAACAAAAGCTTCGTAACTGAATTAGTTGCGTCGTTATCGTCTGCAAGATGACTAAAACAAGAGTACGAAATACAAGTTCCTGCAAAATTATATTATTTCAAATAGCAAATCATACGAGTTGACAGGTACAACGGGCTCCAAGTAAAGTTTATGTCAATACACATCAAAGCAAGGTATTGATACAATTGAAAAAATGACGTATATATCAAGATTTTTTTCCGTCACCGGGACAGCTTCTTTTTAGTCATCAGTCACTGTCCAGAATCCGACTCATGGCTGAGCAGAGCAAGGTGACAATTTACTCCCAGAGGTGCCGGGTGCACGCCGCACGGTAATAGCTCGAGTTCAAGTCACAATGGCGGATACAGGCTTTTTTAACGGAGCAGGGGCAGCCAGTTGAAGTCTCAAGTCAGTGAGCTTGCATTGGACCGTGTGCGGTGGCAGCGGCTCAACGTATGTAACGTGGGGTCATGGGTCGTGGGCAGCGGGCACGCCATAACTTCTTTGCCATTTTTACGGCAACTAGGATTTCTTATAATGGTTATTAAGATGCTGCAATTGAAATCGTTGCTGGATGAACTTTGCTTTGTAATAAGAGCCCGGCAAGTGCGTGGACTGATCGCTAACATATCTGGCAAGTCAATCCGTTCACTAGAGACGTTTGAATTACGCGAGAATTCGAAGCTACGTGAGGCGGTACCTACCGTCTACCATGACAAGGCGATCATCGGAAGCAAAAGCCGAACGATCCAAATGTATGTACCTAACTACTATTGTATTGTATCTTCACAAAACTCACTTGGCATTAATGACATTCGCCTAAATCAAGTCACTACATAGGCCTGCTGCGTGTTTTATATATGCCTACGACTTGACATTCGTCATGCATCGATGACGACGTCGAATGGTTCGCCGACGTGAAGACTTTGCCCGAGAATACTATCACTGGGCTATATTGGAAGCTGCGGGGCGTAGAGTGAACAGGCATTTCCGTCAGCGTGATGCAGTTGCTGCAGCGTTCTCAGTATATTTAGGTATGTGCCGCGACTTGCCGGCGGGCACTCTTATTTGGCAGAAACTAGCGTCACTAGCTCACTGACACCTCCACAGGATCACCTCAGCCCTGTCAGATTGAGTCAGCTCCTCAGCTGCCGGTACAAAATAAACCGAGTGACAAAGCCCATACCATCTATTGACATCTTAGGGAGTTACACTGTCGATTCGTAATCTAGTCATTGGCATTACAGAGAACCACTGCCATATAATGGCTATCGTCGACGACTCGACAAATGGGAGAGCCAGGAGTCGTCGGAGAGGCGGTAAGGGGTGGTGGGAGGGCGTGGTGTCGGCCGGTTGGGCAGGCAGAGAGGGGCACGGCGCCCGGCCGGGACAGTCGGGCCGGGCGCCGAGACCCGCTCAGACGGTCCGCTCGGCGCGCGGTGAAAGGTCCGCCGCCAGAGAGACGCGTCGCGCTGTCTCCGGCACCAGGTCGGCCGTGCGGGTCCCGTGCTGTCTCCGGCGCCAGGTCGGCCGCACGGGTCCCGCCGTCTCCGGCACTAGTTCGGGAGCACGGAGACCGGGCCCAACAGCCCGGCATGGCCGCGCCGCGACAGCAGAGACGACGCCATCGGACACCACAGACAGGTGAGTCTCGGAGCCGTCATAGCACGGCTGGGTGATCGCTTTACAAGAAGAAATCTTTGTTGTGTAATTGCAATGGAGGTTAATTGAGTTGAAACTTTGCAATTTGTATAACCTCGCTAGCCGCTTATTGAAGTGTAGCACCGCCATCCACACTGTTATGTAACCGGCACATGGACGCTGTCGGGGAGAGACGATATCCGTGTTATCCAATTAATTCGGTCCGGTAATAATCGCACATTGATATCGTGTTTAATCAACAAACCCAGCTGGTAGTAGCAGTAAGAACTAACTATGCACAAAGAGAATATTATTGTTGTTAAATTACTACCGTACCCTTCCGGATCTAATTAACGAGTTAATTAAATCCCTGGCTTTACAAGAAAATAGAAACGCCTAGGTATAGCAAATAATTATTTTTGGCATTTCGTGTTGCATTTAGCTCTTTGGAACTGTACGGGTACGCAATGTGAGAAAATCTTGCAGTAGCTGAAACATAAATGCTGCAATCTGCATGTCACTTTCATATGATCGAAATCACCTATCATCGCATTTACATACGATTGTGCATGATTGTGAGCTTCAGAAATATGGAGTTATTCTCAAATTCAAACAGCTCATTGCTCATAGACCATGACCCAATGATAAGAATCTCAACGTTTACCACGCACCACGTTTTGTATCCAATAGAGCCGCAGTGTCGACGTCGCCCAGCGGGAATTTCCCACGGTCAGAAGCATCCAACCTATCCCTCTCTAAATAACTGGTTGTCACTTATTCAGGACGCCGCGCACCGTACCGCGCAGCTCCCTGACATCAACGAATGGTCCGCACACCGGCGGCCCCGTCCGCCGCCGCCGCGCGGAGGCCCGGGACGCTGATGGGTATCTCGGGGACGGTCCCGATGCTCTCCCATCACCGGCCGAGCGCGGCACGATGTAAATGTGACGCCGCGACTGGCGCATTGTTTCGATGGCGGCGCAGCGACGGCGATGGATCGGCCGGCGTGGCTCTGTCAGCCGCTCTGAGCCTTCCACTGGCGCTGAGAGACTGCTGGAGACGACGGGACCAGCGGTGCCGCAGACCGAGATCAGCCGACCCATCAGTAACGGAGGCTACCGTGGTCTGACTAAAACTTAGGTCCAAAATCAGACTTGGGCTGGGATGGGGGAGACGATCGTTTGTGAAAGCGGCTACCTCGATTGAGCTCGGACCAGGGAATGGTTGCTTGATAAGGCGGACGTCATTGAATAGCTTGTGGTAGTGGTGGTTTTGCAGCTTACGCTTGATTTTCAGCAAAAAGATGCAAATAGACTGCGGTAGCACCAGCTTAGAGACTGCAACATTGCACACGACAGTAGCACAAAGTTAGAGAGACTGTGATATTACACACGGCGGCAGCACCAACTTCGAGCGACTGCAATAGTTCACACGACAGTAGCACCAACAGAGGGAGACTGCAGTACTACACACGACAGTAGCACCAACAGAGACTTCAACAAGCACAAAACAATAACACCAAGGATGGAGAGACTGCAATTGTACACAGGACAGCAACACCAATGGAGGGAGACTGCAGTAGAACACAATGCGGCAACACCAATTGAGGGAGACTGCAAAGTGCAACAGTACACAGGACGGCAGCACTAATTGAAGGAGACTGCAACAGAACACACACGACGGCAACACCATTTGAGGGAGACTACAGCAGTACACATCACTATAACATCAATTGAGGGAGACTGCCATAGAGCACACGACGCTAACAGCTCAGGGAGACTATCATAACAGTACATACGACAGTAGCATCAATTGAAGGAGACTGCAGTAGAGCACGACACTAGCACAATCTATCACAGACTGCAATAGTATACACGACACTATCACCAGTATAACGCCTTTTGGGGCGACTAACGGAGCGAGCGAGAGGGTGGGCCTCGCACGTGCGAAATCGCGAGGGGGTACCTCCAGCTGACTTGTGCACGGCACCCTACTAACCGGTCTCTAGCGATGTGCCAAATTTGAGCACAATCGGCCCAGCCGCTCTCGAGATCTGGAAGCGGCACCCTGCACGTGCGCACGTGCAAAATGGGTCCCAACTGACTTGTGCACGGCACCCTACTAACCGGTCCCTAACCATGTACCAAATTTGAGCGCAATCGGTCCAGCCGTTCTCGAGATCTGGAATCGACCCCTGCACGTGCGCACGTGCAGCAGCACCCCAACTCTGGCACATGGATATGTATTGCCTAGTGGGTGCCTACCTACATGCCAACTTTCAGCGCAATCGGCCTAGTAGTTACCGAGATATTGCAACAATTACAAAAGTGACACCTCTTCGTTTTCCACGTGGCACGTGCATAAGGGGTCACCCATATGCATCGGGAATAGTCCAATACTTGGTAGAAGGAATGAAGCTACCCTACAAAAATTACCGCGTGTAAATCGGTCAAGTGGTTGCTGAGATATAAGCGTCGCAAAAGCGTGACCACGGCCGGCCGGCCGGCCGGCCGCTCATTACGGAGCGAGCGAAGCGAGCGTAGTCTTTCCTTAGATTAACGGAAATTTCTGAGTATGAGCGGCCGGCCGGCCGGCCGGCCGGCCGGCCGTGGTCACGCTTTTGCGACGCTTATATCTCAGCAACCACTTGACCGATTTACACGCGGTAATTTTTGTAGGGTAGCTTCATTCCTTCTACCAAGTATTGCACTATTCCCGATGCATGTGGGTGACCCCTTATGCACGTGCCACGTGGAAAACGAAGAGGTGTCACTTTTGTAATTGTTGCAATATCTCGGTAACTACTAGGCCGATTGCGCTGAAAGTTGGCATGTAGGTAGGCACCCACTAGGCAATGCATATCTATGTGCCAGAGTTGGGGTGCTGCTGCACGTGCGCACGTGCAGGGGTCGATTCCAGATCTCGAGAACGGCTGGACCGATTGCGCTCAAATTTGGTACATGGTTAGGGACCGGTTAGTAGGGTGCCGTGCACAAGTCAGTTGGGACCCATTTTGCACGTGCGCACGTGCAGGGTGCCGCTTCCAGATCTCGAGAGCGGCTGGGCCGATTGTGCTCAAATTTGGCACATCGCTAGAGACCGGTTAGTAGGGTGCCGTGCACAAGTCAGCTGGAGGTACCCCCTCGCGATTTCGCACGTGCGAGGCCCACCCTCTCGCTCGCTCCGTTAGTCGCCCCAAAAGGCGTTATACTGGTACTCAGAAATTTCCGTTAATCTAAGGAAAGACTACGCTCGCTTCGCTCGCTCCGTAACCATTGACATGGCCGCAGCGGTAAACACCAGTATAACGCCTTTTGTGGCGACTAACGGAGCGAGCGAGAGGGTGGGCCTTGCACGTGCGAAATCGCGAGGGGGTACCTCCAACTGACTTGTGCACGGCACCTTACTAACCGGTCTCTAGCGATGTGCCAAATTTGAGCACAATCGGTCCAGCCGTTCTCGAGATCTGGAAGCGGCACCCTGCACGTGCGCACGTGCAAAATGGGTCCCAACTGACTTGTGCACGGCACCCTACTAACTGCTCCGTAACCGTGTACCAAATTTGAGCGCAATCGGTCCAGCCGTTCTCGAGATCTGGAAACGACCCCTGCACGTGCGCACGTGCAGCAGCACCCCAACTCTGGCACATGGATATGCATTGCCTAGTGGGTGCCTACCTACATGCCAAATCTCAGCGCAATCGGCCCAGTAGTTACCGAGATATTGCAACAATTACAAAAGTGACACCTCTTGGTTTTGCACGTGGCACGTGCATAAGGGGTCACCCACATGCATCGGGAATAGTGCAATACTTGGTAGAAGGAATGAAGCTACCCAACAAAAATTACCGCAGGTAAATCGGTCAAGTGGTTGCTGAGATATAAGCCTCGCAAAAGCGTGACCATGGCCGGCCGGCCGGCCGGCCGCTCATACTCAGAAATTTCCGTTAATCTAAGGAAAGACTACGCTCGCTTCGCTCGCTCCGTAATTAAACAAGACGCTAACCACGGAACGTGGAGACTGCAACAGTACACCCGGCACTAACACCACGGAAAGCAGACTGCAACAGAACACACACCACCAGCTCCACAGAATATGGAGACTGCAGCAGCTTACACCACACTAACATGGCGGGACATGGAGACTACAACTGTGCACACGGCACTAAACAAGGGACAGGGAGACTGCAACAGAACACACACCACCAGCTCCACAGAATATGGAGACTGCAACAGCAAACACCACACTACCACAGCGGGATATGGAGACTAACACGGCACACACGGCACTAAGCAAGGGACATACAGACTGCAACAGGACACACTACACTAGCACTATGGCGTGGAGACTGCAGTAGTACACAAGACAGTATCACCACTGAAATGAAACCGCAGCAGTACTCACGACGCTAACAGATGAAGGAGACTGCAATAGTTCACACGAGACTAACAATTGAGAGACTGCAGCAATGCACAAAACAGTAACGACTTAGACTACAATATAACACACGACAGTAGCACCAACTCATGAGACTGCAATTAGCAAAACTATATACTTTACAATACTAGCGACAGTAACATCAACGATGGAAACTGAAGCACTGTAACAATACCAGTAAAATGAAACAGCAGAAGTAAACATAGCGGTAAAATTAAGTCGCGGAGATACGAAAACCGGAAGTGTGTGGCTTGCCGAGCCGTTCAACTTTCATTGCAGCTTATCCTTTTGACAAAAGCGATTTATCCTCTTGACAAAAACATTTGCAGTAGGTATGCCCTAGAAACATGTCTTCAACCGGCTGATCACGGCATGCAGCTCAGTAGCATTCTCTTTGTGGAAATAGCGGCAATGCTGGTCTGTGAGCTCAGGTGTTACTGACTCAGGTGTACGATTTCAGCCGCTTCATCACGCTGCAGTAAACCAGTTCACTGCGTAACCCTTACCCGACGCACTGACCCAGCATCCCGATAAGGATGGAATAATTTACTTAAGTGTTTTATGAG